CGCCACCTCAACCCTTTCACCGAAGCGCTTCTCTTCAGGAACGGCTGTTTCAAGAACGGAGGCGGAGGAGGAACTTTCTCCTCATGAACCAAAATCTTGGACGTAAGGGGGCATACGACCCTACACCAATAGGGCAGTAGTTGACCTTGGACGACTTGGAAACCCCTGGCTTGTCCTCCCAAGAAAAGGGTACATTTGCTTGTGAAAGAAAACTCATTTTTCCCCCAACACTGATCAATGAATCATTTGCTGGCGTTGCTCATGTATCAACTTTGGGATTAATTATTTCACACAATACATTCTGTCAAACAACATATATGTATATCTGAAGAGGGTGAAAATGAAACGTGAAGATTAAGCACAAATTTGCTTTCAAATGAATTTAAACAGGGAAGTTATGAAAGTAAAGAAAAGAGAAAGAAAAAAAGAGATCGTGAAGAGCTTTGTTTGTTAGTTTAACAGCATTGACTTGACAATCCCTTCCGGTAGTTCCATTTTTGGGTAAGTTGATCATTTTCATTTCAATTAACTAAAAAAATAGTTAAAGTAAAATTAGGTTTTATAGTTAAGGCTTTGCAATCACGGCATAATGCTGAATTGGCACATGAAATTTATTGAATTACTGTAATTAAAACTACTTATCAATGGAAACAATGAAAGATTCTTATTTCAAAGCTTAAATGCATCATTCTTTCCTAAACTATATCATTTGTATCTAGCTATCTAGTACATTATTCTCTAAAGTTTAGATCGTTACTTCATTTTTCCCAATCTGTTAACTCCGTTAAAAATATTTGAGTAAATTACATATTTAGTTACTCAACTATTCATGTGGTACTATTTTGGTCAGTCAACTATTTTTATTTTCAAAATCATCTCTAAACTTAAGTTTTTGTTTCGTTTTGGTCACCCAATTATGTTAGATTTATTTTTTTAAATTTACAATATATAATAATTCATTTATATCACATATTTTTTTTACTCAAGACATAAATTTAATGTACAATAATAAATAATATTATAACATAAAAAATATACAACATATTTAGTTGTTTGTACTTAAAATTTTAATAAAAGGATATTAAACATTAAATTAAAATATTATAAATATTTTAAGAAATTAAAATATGAACATGAACGAGTCATTATTTATAAATTTAAATATCATAAAATTTTAAATTTCGTACTTGAAATTTTGTCTTTGTTTCTTTGTGAACCTCGTCTATTTCTAATTCTCAAGCACTGATTGAAGGTAGGCAATCCCGACCCATTATACAACCCAACCCAGTAAACGATTACGTGATATTATCGACAACATTCGAAATAGAAAGCCTGTGAGTAGGGCTGTATACGAGACATATCGCAGGCTATTCGAGATCGACTCGATTAAGGTTCGATAAATACTCGGATTGAATGGACTCAACTTGAGCTTGAGCTCGACTCGAGTTTTTAACGAGCTGAAACGAGCTACTCGATATTCGACTCAAAAAGCTCGTGAGCAGCTAAAAAAAATGTTATATTATAATTTTAGATTTTTAAAAATTACATTATTAAAAATATATTAAAAATACATTATTGATAATTATAAAATTTTAAAAATATATTAAAAATTCTTTAATACAACTATCCTCAAATTTTAATTTTTTTAATTAACCAGTTCAAGTTCAATTGTTACATTGTATATTACTAAAAGAAAAATAAAAGCCCATTTAATTAAGCACATGTTAATTTACACGTGTTTGGTTGATTTTTTTCTTTTTTTTTAACATTTTACTGCACATGTACTTGATAACGTAGAAAAATAAAATAAAAATAAAAAAAACAACTAAACAATAGAAAAATTGAAAATGATTAAAAATTATTTTTGAATAAATATTCTTATATTTATTTTAAATTAATAAAAAAATTATTTATCTAATGACAAATATTTAATATATTTCTAATGATAATATTTTTAATAACTAATTTTTTAAATTGTTTTTATATTTTGAGGTTTCGGGTTCAAATATCATAAATATCAAGAGTTTGAGCATTTAATATCAATATACTATATTGTACTTACCTCATAACTAATTTTCTATTTGACAATAAATATAATAAAAAAATATGATTCAATTTAAATATTAATAATTTAAAAAAATATATCAAAATAGAGTGTAATCGATTTTATAAAGAATTAAGAAAGAAAAAAACTCATTTAGACTTACATTAATACCTTATTAGATTTTTGTTTTTCAGAATGCAAAAGAAAAACAAGTCTACTCTCTCTCCTTTCACTAAGCCATCTCATTCCTTCTAATTATGTGACAGGGTTTAGGGTTTAGGGTTTAAGGTTTAAGTTATGCACATGAAGGTAACATACAAATTATGCAAAATGATGTTATGTGACTCCTAAATAAATCATTCGCATACTTACACATAAACATATCAACATGCAAAATTAATATACACAACTACTTAAAGAAGACAATCCTAAACAAGGACTAAATTATTACCTAAACTAGAGTGTGCTTACACGATACATGCATGCATACGAATGAAATGCAAATACACATAGATTAAGATGAAACAATATAAGATTAAACCTACTATTAATAACTTAAACTCATGTTTAAAAAATGCCATGCAGGACCAAAACAATAGAAAACTGAAAATAGGCATACAAAGTAGAAATTACTCATTAAATTAAACAAACCAATTAAGGGATTACATTGTCAAATAATTAAAATTACAAGACACAATTGAAAACAAGCACAAATTGAATGAAGCAGGATATCTAGGGTTAGAGGTGGGTATACGGGCTACCCGTCCGTTTTGCCCGCGGGTTTTGACGGTACAGGCTTAAACGGAGTAGTTTAAAAAGCTCGCAATCATAAATGGTTTTGAATTCTAAGGCCCTCGACCCATCCATTTAACTCGCGGGTTAAATGGGCTTACCCGCAGCCCTTTAAATAAAAATAATTTTAAATGCAATAAAAAATAATGTTCTAACTTGCTACACCTTTAAAAATGATCCAGTAACTTGAAAAGGAATGTAGCACCGTCAAAAAAATAAATAATATTTAAATTTTATTTTAAATAGCCGGAAATGATTATAAAATAATTTTTTTAAATCATTAATATATATATATATATATATATATATAACGATAAAATTACTTAAACTCAAATTAAAAAAACAATATTCACTTATATCACCAAATTGAAAAACAAATAAAACAATAATCACATTATACTTTTATAAAACATGATTATTCAATGCTATAATATGAAGACACAGAAGTGTCTGCAGGCAGAAATTCAAACAGAAAAATTCAATAAAGTCAAACATTATATAAATCTAACAAATTTTCTTTTGTAAAAGTTGAAAAGTATGTTTTCAATTTTTTCTTTTACTTTTCTTTTTTATTTCTAATCCAAATATTACGTGTCATGTGATATATTATTAGAATATCACGTGACTTTTTATAATTAAAGAACGAAATGGATAACATACTTCATGAAAAAAATAAAGGTCAAAATTAAATAAATTTTTTTTTAAATACCAAAATGATAATGATGTAAATTTTATAAGACTTAAATACTATATAAATCTTTTAATTTTTATTTTTTAAAATGAAGAATAATTTGATACATTGTAAATGAAAAAAATATCAAGCAGCGGTAGAATTATGACAAATATCCTAATAAATTTAAGAACTACAATGGTTATAAGTAACATCATATTTATAGGTAATTTATTTTCTTTTTCTATAAAATTCTTTAAATTTATTTTTTCTAAAATTTTATAAATTTTAAATTAAGCGGGCTATTGCGGGCTTTGCGGGCTACCCGCGATTATACCCATTAAACCCGTAGGTTTAACAGTCTGGGCTAAAAAGACCGCATTTTAAATGAGCTTCAGTTTTTGATGTCCAAAACCCGCACGGGTCGCGGGTTAAACAGGTAACCCGCGGGCCTTAGCCCATATACCCACCTCTGTCTATGGTAAAAACTCTTACCCTAATTCATTTCCCCTCAAATTTTCCCTAGCTAAAACTTCCCCCCTCGCCGTTCTCCTCTCAAACCTCATCCACTCGCAACCCTAACAGATACCCACAACCACCGTGGCCTAAACACTCCCCCAAGGCTCCGACGAGAAACCTAGACCTCAAACCCTTCTCCTCAATTCGAACCTTAACCCTAAGCCTCTCAAAACAAAACCCGTTCCCTCACTGCCGAACCATACGACCGTTGTAGGTTTCTCTTTTTGAAAGCTCCGCTGAGGAACCAATATCCCAAATAACCCTTACTTTACCCTTTCTTAGAACCCTAACCTCACAAGCCCCAAACCCCTAGAATAACCATAGATCCAAGGTCAAAAGAGATTACCCTTGGTGACTCAAGGAAGCTTTGACTTCGGGCGACAAAGGCAAGCTCCTATCGAAGGGGAAGGTAAGGTTTTACTTACTGGTTCTCTGGCCACTGATGGTTTTTGTTGCTCGAATGTTTTTTTTCCTATTCTAGTTGATACCCGTTGTTTTGGGTGGCTAATAGGTTATATGATTGTGGTTTGATAGACTCTCTAGGGTTCTATTCCTTTCTTTTTCTGTTCTCTCTGATAACTGAGATTATATCCTTGAGGTTTGCTCTCTGTCTTTTTGTTGTGCTTGGTGTTCTGTCCCTTGTTATGATGAATAACTTCAGAAAGAATAGGTTGCTTGCTATATTGTTGTGCTTGCTGTATGTTTTCTGCTCGACAACTCTGTTTGCGTCAACTTAAATGCATTTTCAAGTAGCAGTTTCTTTCTGATTTTAGTTTCTCCTGTTTTCCACCTTTCAACAGGAAGTGGGATTGTATCATATGTGAAACCATTAAATGCATTGATTGCTTTAAAAGAGTGCTTATTATTGGTTACTGAGTCTTATGTTGATAAATTTAGTTTCAAGGCTAAATTATTGGTTACTGGGGCCCCTCCAGATTATTTTGACAAAAATGGCCAGAATTGGGGGTTTCCTACTTATAATTGGGAGGAAATGTTCAAAGACAACTATGCTTGGTGGCGTGCTCGCCTTACACAGGTTTTTCAATTTCATTTTTTTTGTTTGCAGTTTCTTCTTAACTTTTACCCCAAATTCAATAAGTTGTTTGCTTTAATGCTGTTGTAAGGAAAGAGTATTTCTTTCTTTCGTTTTTGCTGAAATTTTTATAATTTTATTTACTTCCATTGCAGATGGGAAAGTACTTTACAGCTTATAGGATAGACCACATCTTAGGCTTCTTTAGAATTTGGGAACTCCCAGACCATTCTATGACTGGTCTAATTGGAAAGTTCCGTCCATCTATCCCTCTAAGCCAGGTAACAAAATTACAATTCCTTGAAGCATGCAAAGATTCTTCTGTATATAACAACTAAGGGGAATCAAATTGCTCTAGTTGTAACTGAATAATGCTTCGATTTCAGGAAGAACTTGAAAGAGAGGGTATATGGTACTTTGATCGATTGGCACGCCCTTATGTTCGAAAAGAGTTTTTAGAGGTAGAGAAAAAATACCTTTGTGATTCAAATTAGTTTCTCATGGAGAATTTTGGACTTTTTGCATTTTTAATTGGCTAAATACTATCTTTTTCATTTTATGTTAACCAAAATGTTCACTTTGAAGATGGTCAATTTTCTTTCAAATCAGAACGCATCATTTCAATTATATCCTTCATGAAAAAAATTGAGATTATGAATAGTTAGTATTTGGTGGTAACCCGTAACATGGATTTGGATCAGCTGATTCCATCTAAACATTTTCACCAATTTCGCCCTAATGTATAGGATCTATAAGGTTCAAAACTAACTTGAGAGAAATGATAGTGTAATAGTAAAAGTTACATGATTTTACACGAAAAGAGGGAGATAGAAATTGCATTTCCCAAAATGTTTCCATTTAGTTAGGGAGAACATTAGTATGGTCAAAGATATTATGTATCAATTTATATAAATTTTGATATGTTGTCATATTTGTCATTTTTTTTAATAAATTCAGATGTGTTGTCATATTTTGTAAACTTTCAATATATTTGAAGTGTTAAAAATTTCAAAGCTTATATTAATTATCCTAAATTTCTTGTAATTGTATTTTAATTTTTTAGATTTTTTATAGTTCATACATTCATATTATAATGTATTGGTGATGGTTGATTAAAGGGAAAATTATTTATATATTTTAAATGTAATATAATATTTTTGTAGGTTCAAATTCGAGCTTGAATCGAGTTCAAAATCGAGCTTCAATCGAACTCGACTCTCGAGCTTCAATCGAGCTCCTGAAATTTTTTTGAGTTCGAACCTTTTCGAGTTCGAGTCGAGTTTCAATAATATATTTCGAGTTCGAGCTGAGTTTCATAATTTTTAGTTCGTGAGTTTTCGAGTCGAGTTGAGCCTACGTTTAAAGTTTTCGAGTTCGAGTCGAGCTCAACAATACTCGAGTTCAACTCAGCTCGTTTACACCCCTACCTGTGAGTAGGGCTTACAAGTGATATCACTCAAAGAGGAAAGAGAAATTTGTCGACACTCATTCTCGTCTGGGATCCAAAGTCACATGTTCGAGTCCTTATTTGGTCCAACAAAGCCTAAGAGGAGTGTAGCAGTTGAGACCACCTAACCCAGCAGGCTCAAACGGTCAGTGACCCAAATTTGGAGTCCCAAAGCAAGGAAGCTCGCGTGCGAAGAACTCAACATATTAGGGTTTTCATTTCAATGTTAATGCCGCCCAGTATCAATCGTCGTATCAGGATTGAATGGACGATTCAGATTAAGTCTAGATTAGGCTTTCTTTAACCCTAAAGTGAAGTTTACACCGGTCAACATGGGACCATTGGATATGAACCAATCTAATGGTCCAGAATCATCCAAAGATAGGGTTAAACCCTAAAGCCAAGATATTTTAAGCGCCGCCAAAGATTTCGAGAATATTTTAGAACATCCTGTCGCAATCGTCTTTCGGTTGGGCCCCGGAATTGGGCTTCGACTTGAAAAATGTGGATTGGAGTCGCCACCGATCATTTATTTAAAAATAAATGGGTTGATCGGATACCCTATTTCTTACCTGATCTGCGTCTTACCAGAAATATGTCGGGTTCGGGAGTCGGTTACGGTCAAGGAAGGATTAGCACCCTTGAACTGCCCTTTCGGTACTACGTAATTTCCAGTTGTCTTAATTAAGAAAAATAACAAGTTAAATTAAAAGGTAAAGTTTCGATCCTAATTACTTACCCTTGATTGATTTGAAAAAAAATCGAGAAATGTGTTAGATAAACAAGGTAAAGAAAACAAATAAGATACAAGGGAAAAATAAAATAAATAAAATAAGTAAGTAAGATAAGAAAAAATAGTAAAGTAATAATTATATATAATAATATTTGAAAAAAGGAAAAAAATATAATATATATATATATATATCAAAGTATTAATAAAATAAATAAGCTATATATACACCAAATACTTAAAAATAAAAAAGATACCCTCCCAATTCACCGAAAGTGGGGGGCTTTAGTAAGAAATAAGACAAAAAATGGGTCCTCTAGGTTAGTAATATATAATATAATGTTTAATAATAATAATGATAAGGACATAAGGTTTTTTAAAAATAAAATAAAATAAATGTATAATAATAATGAATAAAAAACGAAAATAATAAAAAATAATATAATATATAAAGTTATAAGATATATTACATAAATAAAGAAATAATCAAATAAAAATAATTAAGAATATATATATTTAATAATAGGTATATAGATAAACTATTAAAAGTATAAAAGATATATATGACTAAATAAAGATAATTACAATATATATATAGTAATATTAGACTTATAAGTAAAATATTAAAGAAATATATATATATAATAATAATAAATATAGTAAAAAATAAATGAAAATAATTTATATATATATATATATATATACATATAATAATAACATGAATAATAAAAATAAATGAATAAAATATCCATATAATAAATAAAGGGACTAATATAGATTTTTAAAAAGCTCTTCCCCTCCTTTAACCGAAAATCAAACCGATTTTTAAAAAATAAGCCTCGGGGTAGATCTAGGTTCGAAACTTCGAAACCCCACCCATTTTGGTCATCGGCGCAACCCACGTTTTGGGTTATTCGAACCAAATCTCAAAAAAATAACGTGCACATGCAAAAGAAAGAAAAAAGAAAATGCTACCTTTTATTTCCTTTTCGAATCCTTTACAATAGCTTTGCCTTTGTATCTTCCCGTGCTTTCCTCTATGTTTTGTGTATAAATCGTGTGTTACAATGGTGAGTTACAATGGCTATTTATAGTGCTTGTGGATATTTATAGTGCTTGTGGATCCTATCTTTAAGAATTTAAATATAGTAGAACTTTATACTATTTTTTGAATCCTAGCAAAATTCTATCCTATCTTTAGGAGTTTGAATTCTAGTAGGACGAAAAGGTGTGTTGACAGCTGCCCCTCTTTGCCCATAGTCGTGTAACGGGGATAGGGCAAAGATTAAAAGACACACTTTTCGTTCGGTGGAGTTGAAAATTGACTCTGATATTTCAATAACTCCCTGTCGAATTGAGTTACGGATGACTCCTCCGTCGTGAAGTCGAGTTCATCTTGGAATGATATGAAATTGAAGCCGTAGTTCGGAATTTGAATCAGAACGTGGCTTCTCGTTGCCCTTCGGTCTTCTTCTCGGTTTAAAGACCTTGGATCGGAATCGAACTCAGAAATCTTCATTGACATATAGCTTTTGTTTGAAAATGGTTGCTTGTCACTAAGGCACGGTTAACCCAGGTCCTCTTCTCGACTTGAAAACATCGACTGCAACCAGAAAGTAGTGCGATTGATGTGTCATCGAGCTGAATGGAATCGAACTCGACAATTTTGATGGCAGATAACCCTTCTAGCATTGAGTTATGCTGTAAATGATGTGCCTTGGAGCTGAGCGTAGTCGAACTCGAAGGTCTTTGTTGACATATACTCCCTTTTTGAGTTGGATATCCTTCGCCGTGAAGTTGAAATCCAATCTAAAGATGGATGATGCTTGTGTGCAAGATTCCCTTCGTCGTGAAGTTGAGCCTGAAATTGGATATCCTTCGTCGTGAAGTTGAAATCCAAGTAAGTAGCATTGTTCAGAGTCCAATATCCTCCGTCGTGAAGTTGAAATTGAATCTGAATGAAATTTTGTTGACAAGCAGCGGTCCCTTCGTCGTGAAGTTGAACTTGCGTTGTCTGGAGTCCAATATCCTTCGTTGTGAAGTTGAAATTGGCTCTGAGATTGGGAAGTTGTTGTTGACAAGCAGCGGTCCCTTCGTCGTGAAGTTGAACTTGCATTGTCTGGAGTCCAATATCCTTCGTTGTGAAGTTGAAATTGGCTCTGCGATTGGGAAGTTGTTGTTGACAAGCAGCGGTCCCTTCGTCGTGAAGTTGAACTTGCGTTGTCTGAAGTCCAATATCCTTCGTTGTGAAGTTGAAATTGGCTCTGAAATTGAGAAGTTGTTGTTGACAAGCAGCGGTCCCTTCGTCGTGAAGTTGAACTTGCGTTGTCTCGAGTGCCACGATATCCTCCGTCGTGGAGTTGAAATCGCGGATGGCCCCTTCGTTGTGAAGTTGAGCCTTGACTTGAATATCCTTCGTCGTGAAGTTGAAATCCAAGTATTGTATGTTGCGGGTGGACACAATTTCCTTCGCCGTGAAGTTGAAACCGTGGAGACCCCTTTATTGTGAAGTTTAGCTTCGAGCTAGATATCCTTCGTCGTGAAGTTGAAATCCACTCTCGAGCAAATTGTGTCGCTTTGAGTGCAATATCCTTCGCCGCGAAGTTGAAATTGACTCTAGCTAAAACCTGAAAAAGTTATGCATATATGTGATGCTATGGATGCAATGCTCTTAGGTGTGCCTAAAATGCATATGCAACATATGTTATCTTGGGGCTCTGGAGAGAAATCTCGATCTCCAGTTGCCTGTCTGGAATCTTGATTCTTGAATCTTCAAATTTTGATCCCTGATCTTGAATTCTTCAAATGTTCAAATCTGATGTGCACATTCTATTTTTGATTTGAGAAATATTTCTCGACCATCTCAAGTATGTGCCTGAGCTGAGTGTAACGGTTCAGATGATGCTTCAAAAGAAGTTGTCTTGAAAGAGATAGAATTCTTTTCAAGGGAAACGATCTCAAAGATATCTGTTGTTTCATGAGAAACGGTCTCAAGGGAAACAAATTTATGTTTTAAGGGAAATAAATTTGAAGATTTTGTGTTTCAAGAGTTACTGTCTCAAGGGAGACAAAATTTGTTTTAGGGGAAATAAATTCAAAGATTTTGTTTCAAGGGAAACTGTCTCAAGATAGACGAAAATTGTTTCAAGAGAAACTGTCTCAAGAGAGACAAAACTTAGTTCCAAAAGAAACTGTCTCAAGGGAGACGGAATTTGTTTCAAATAAAACATATTCAAATATTTTGTTTCAAGGGAAACTGTCTCAAGGGAGACGGAATTTGTTTCAAATAAAACATATTCAAATATTTTGTTTCAAGGGAAACTGTCTCAAGATAGACAAAATTTATTTCAAGGGAAACTGTCTCAAGATAGACGAAATTTGTTTCAAGAGAAACTGTCTCAAGAGAGACAAAATTTGTTTCAAGGGAAACTGTCTCAAGAGAGACAAAACTCTTCTAGTGAAAACGGTCTCAAGCGAGACAAATCTTGTTTTAAGAAAAACAATCATGAGTGAAATAAATCTTCTTTCGAGTAAAACAGTCCCAAGTGAGACAAAGTCTGTTTTAAAAAAGCAATCTCAAGTGAGATAATCATCTACATTAAATGAGACTGTCTCAAGCGAGACAGAATTTATATTGGAAATGTCGAATCTAAAAATGAATGTCGATCTTTCTATCTGTCGAGTTGGTTGAAGTGTAGCTTCTTGCTGCTGAGCTAAACAACCGACATCAATCTGTAAAGGTGCTTTTGAATCGAGTATCCTTCGTCTTGAAGTCGAACTTGACTCTAAAGCTGTAAAAATTATGTACGTGGAAAGAAAATGATAGATATGATGCTCTAAAATGTATGCATAAGATGCATGTAACATGAATTGGTTATATTTTATCTCCTGAAAAAGGTCTGATAATTTGCATTAGGATGTTGAATCCCCAAATATGCCCCAATATCAAAAAATGCCCCAATATTTGATGTTGAATCTTCAAAGATGCCCCAAATGTTCCTCATTTCTTGATTAATCATTGATTCTGAGCACGAGCTTTATGTCTAAGAGTCACATGTCATTTACCAAGATCCACTCTAGAGAGACTGTCTTGTTTGAAAAAAAATGTTTTTCTTTCTCTTTTATTTTTAAAGTCTGAAAATATCAATTAAAAGAGTTTTGAAAGATGTTTGATCCAAAGTTTTGAAAATATTGTCACTTTCACGGTTTTACAATTGAGACAAATCATAAAACTAGAGTTCATCGGATATCAAAGAATTAATTACAATGTTAATCCTTCAATAAATTATAGCTATTTGACATGTGCCAAGATCAAAGCTATTTTTGGGAAATGGTCAAGCAAAGAAAGGATAAAAAGTCTCAGGTTATTGTGTTTGGTTAAAGGTTTGGCATTTTTGTTCATTTGATGCTAAATGGTTTGACATTTGATGCTCAAAGGTTTGATGGGGTAGCTTGCATGCTCATCTACTAGAAGTGTTCTCCGACTCCCAGCTTTTATGGTCACACTCGGATTGTGTGATGCCTTATCGAGGAATTTGTGTGATCGCCTCAGTTGCACAATTTTTATATTCGAGCCGCCTTTTCAGGTTTTCAACTCGAACACTCATTTGGTTTCAAGACGTTATTCAGGATTTACGTCTTGAACCCCCCTTTGTTATTTTTCTCTATCATACATTAATTACATTATTTTTTGCAAACAAAGATTAATCCTAATGGGCGGGATGAAATCTGAAGATAGTCTCTCCTGTTTAGAAATCCATGTATGATTAGAAAGGACTTTTAAGGCACGTAATGTAGGCCAGGGTTCATGGTTATGAAAGAAAAGGATAAATAGGCCCAAACAAGTGTTTCAGGGTGTTGAACCAAGGATCAATTCATTATGATGCCTTTAATCTTGTCTTGCTCAAAATGTCTCTTTCTCTTGATGCTCTATGATCTTCGAGTGAAGTGATTCGGGAATGATTGTGCTTGATCAATCTCGTAGTTTGAAGCTTGATGTGCCATTTGTCTTTAGGGAATCTTTGCATGTGTTTTTTGTCCCTTTTTCTTTTTTCTTTTTGTTCTTTTTGTTCTTTTTTTGCTTTATTTTTTGCTTTTTTTTTCTTTTTTCCCTTTTTATTCTGATTAAATATTTGCACTTGGCATCTGGTTCACCTTTTGGTAACTCCTTTGGATTGATGTCTTCACTCATGTGAGCAGATTTCTTCCACATTGCCCCCCAGTGTGGAGGGTGATCCTTGGTTAGGGTTGAATCAGAAGAAAAATACTATAGGCTCAAAAGGGGACACAAGGGATATATATTTTCTCCTGTTGTGAAGGGATAAAGAAAGAAAGCCGTTCATCATTTCATACATGGAAGTCCTCACAGAAAAGGTATCCCCAGGGGGATAGATTTTCAGGATTAATTCTATTCACATGAAAACAGTGTAATTAATGCGTGATAGAATTATTTCGGATGAATTCTTCTTTTTTCCCCAGATGTCTCAATGTTCAAGCTCCCCGCAAGATGCCCCAAGTTGTGTCTTTAGAATAAACCTCATGTTCAGATGAACAACTCAATGCCTTGGGTTAAAATGTCAATTTTGAGTCTAAAAAGGCAGTGGTGTGATCTTATTGACTCAAAGAAAAGTATGGATGTATCAAAAAGATAAAGGCAATGTTCAAGAATTTCAAAGGGAGGTAATGTCAAAATTTGGTCTTTTTGGTAATGACCATGAGTTATTTTGGGCAAAGAATCAAGGTATTTTATTCTGGGGTTTGAGACAGGATAAGAAATGTCTAATCTTGTCATATGTCAAAAATCTATAATTCTTGAAGAATTAAAAGAATCCTTAATTCATTTAATATTCGAAGAACTAAAGATTAAAACTCGTTCAATTGTTCCACCTTAGAAAGTAGCATAAATTCAATCGTTTAACAGATTAAGCAAACATGAAAGATCAGAGACGTGTTCAAACAAAACAATCCTCTAAGTGCAAATGGTATATGTCATGTCCCCTTCTTCGGCTTTTTATGCCCCTAAATCCATCAGGTTTTGGATCTTGCGCTTCAATGCCTTATAGTTCTCAGAGGAATGTTTGGAGCTTCTTATGTGGTAACAGTTAACAGCTTCAACATTGTAGTCCTTAGGATATGAGGATTCTTTTCTTAGATCATCCTAGCTGGCTTTGTCCTATCATCAGCTGATTAGGCTCTTTAATGTTACAATCTTGCTTCCATGTGGTTAAATTCGCTTCATCGAGTCCTTCACGACTTAATTTCATGTTTGTGAAAATGCTTAAAATGTAGATAAAAATGCAAAAAGGCAAAAATGCAAAATGCAAGAATGCACGAAATGTTCGAGGCATTGATCCAGAAAAGTGTCCATTATTATAAATAATCCTTATTCAGACAAAAATGTTTTATCTTGTAAGAGATATAAAAACAATAAAAGGTATGTTCGGACTAAATCTTCTAGACATCCATCCGAGATACTTTCTTCCATGACTCGACTGCTTCTTTGATCATCTTCTTATAACTGTCACCGTGATACATAAACTCTGATATAGATAATCCATATGTTGTTGGGACAAACTGATGTGCCCCATACTGTCTAAGTGCCAACAACAGAGCATACCCAACTGCACCTCAAAGTCCAAATAGGGTCATAGTGTCAGAATTCCCACACTTGAAAAGAACATCACTGAGGAACAACCAGGGGGCTCTCCAGGTAATATCCCGGTCCTGAAGATGAGTGAAGACTTTCATCCATTTCTCTTTTGAAGCGCCTTCATGTCATGTCATGGTGATGAACTCTCTCAAAGGTAAATACGTAGTGATAAATCTACAGTAGGCAACCCCATTAGTCTTTCAGAAGTGGATGTGAATCCAGAAGTGGATGTGAATCCAGACTTGAAGGAACTGAACACATCCAATGAATCTACCTCCACCAGCTCTTCGGTAATGGTTGAGAGACCAAAAGGTCTCGGCTGAGATGGTCGGTGCTGGGTTGACTCGTTTCGGAAGTTGCTCAAACAGTTCCACCACGGCTGCGCCAATGCATCCCAAAACCTTTGGAAAGATGATCAAGCCATCCAGACCTAGTGCAAAAAGGTCTATAGTCTTCCATTCATCACGGTGGTCCTTTATTAGTTCCCTTATGTGGATCCACTCAATTCCTTGCCCGTTACCTTTGTTTCGGAGTCGGTCAATCACCCATTTTTCATCAACTCTTGTAATCTTAGCCAGTCCGTTCTTGAAAGGCTGACTCTTGATGTGTTTGATGTAGGCTCGCTCCAGTTTAATGCTTTCACAGTGCAATAGTGTAGTATACTCCTCGATGGTAGGTACCATGTCCTCCTGGTTAAAAGTGAAGCAACTGTATCCCAGGTTCAAAAATTGAACCAAGACTCTGATTAAGGGCTCATCGGTCTTAACATGAAGCAAAAATGCAATGTCACCATACCGCTGACTGAACTTCTATTTCCGATCATTCTTCCAACTATCTCAGATGTCTCGAAGTTCTTGCACATTATTCTGTTTTAGGTTGATAGAGGCGTAGCTAACCAGCACTGACACATAGCTTCCTTGAAGACTGTCTCCCTTTTCCTTCTGAGTCTTCTCGGACCATAGTCGTACCTCGAGGTTTTTAATCTCTTGTATTACAACACCTTTGTCCATGGATTCAGATTATTCGAGTTTTAACAAACACGTTTTAGTGGATCAATGACCTCTTTTATGATGCAAGTGATGAAAATAAAATAAAAGAAAGATGAAAAGAGTTAGTGAGGTGAAAAAAAAATAAAAAACGATCATAAAAATGAAAGTCATACCCCACATGATATCTACCCCACATGCTTATTATTCCTACCCGGACATGATCTCTATCCCGCTTGCTACTTTCAAACAAATCCTAACCGCATATTTGTCTAGTTTGCATGCTTTGAACAGAAACTAAAGCAGGAAACAAAGCAGCCTAGGGTTTGGAATGAGATTTTGGGGTGGGCTCTAATTCTCCATGGTCTCCCGGTTTAGGTGCTAAAAAATGGTACCCGAGTTCTCCTTGCTGGTGCCCCCTTGGGCTTGCCAGACCCTTAGTCCTAAACCCATCACAGGCTTGTGTGGACTAAGTTAAACTCGAG